TACTTGTGCGGTCTCAAGGGTGTACAGCGAACGTATTGCAAACACAATTTGCAATTGGAGAAAGTTGCGGACCCGGTCACCACAACTTTCCCCAATTGGGTTTCACACCTATTGATTCCCGCGGTGTCATTGCTCAGTATCAAGAGTCACTTAAGTAACAAGACTTACTATGACATAAACAACAGTAAACCTAACCAAAACCTAACCTAAAGAAAAAGCAAACCCAAGTGCCAACCACAAGTTGACGCCTAGGTCTAGAATATCACCTCTCTTCTTCCCACGTGGGAAGAAGAACCAACTAGATATCATCACACAAGTCTACATGATAACTTACTTGATTCTTCACCAAGAATATGGAGTAAAGTGATGCTGTTGTAACTTGATCTTCTTATAAGTCATTTATTGTTCAGGTCCTTATAGAACCTCAAGTGGTGTTTTTAGCTAGTGAGAGAAGTAGCTACAAGAACAAGCTTGGAAATTATAACTGGGTTCCTCTATCACAGAGTATAAAGTACCCCCGCAGCACCTCTGATCCTTCAGAACTGCAGGGTCCAGAGTTGTAACAACCAGAGTTCAGAGCCAGATCCAAGAAAGACAAGTCAGCCATCCCACTGGCACAAAATCTTTCTATCAAGTCCAGCTTGTAGCATGGCAAGGCACAGCACCTGGTGCTGTTGACTCCTTACCCAGGACTCACAGGATCCGGGTAGCTACGCCCCGCGCTGCTATTCTGGAGCTGGGATTTCCATGATACAGGGTCACTACCTTTTATTTTTCCATTTATAATGCAGCACCAAGCCAATATTACCTCAAGCGGCATGTACGTTATAAATTTCAAGTTATCCAAAGACAACAAATTTGTTTGGTGTCCCACTCTGGTTCCAGTGGATAAAATGGTGGACAAAATCTCATTTCCCAATGAACAGACATACAGCATCAATGTTTCAAGGTGCTACATAGGTTCACATCTCTCTAGATCTTTCTATCTTTCTTTTGAATTGACTATAAAACTGATACAACACTGGATATTTCTTCCCTGTATTATTCTTTTCACACTTATTACTATTGTGCAAGACAAACTAGAAGTATATGAATATGTGGAGAATGTACAGGAGGCCTCAATGACTATAAACCTTGGGTGATTTTTGAGCTCCAATTCCGAATAGCACTATGTGAAAGATGAAATCAGTATGTCTCCAAGAGCTCAAGTTCAAATGAGGAAAGACATACTATTAGGAGATCTATTGGATTGTATTCTTTTGACTATATCAAATCCTTCAGATCAGAGAGCTTTCCTTCATCTTTGGGTTGTTGTCTTGAGCCTGACCTTTAATGGTGACAAGATGGTCAAGAAAGATAGCAATAAGAGCTACCCATTGTGTTTGATTTGTTCTTGGTTGATCTTCAATTGCATGATCTAAAACAATGTTACAGTGTTGATTGGTGCAAATCAAGTTTCTAGTAAATAATTTTCCGTCAACAATAGTAATTTGAATAAAAGGACCAAAAAGTACTTAATCCTTATTATTTTGATTTGATTTTTGACTCTTCTTATAATATTGTTTTGAATTTTGAATTTTTTCTGTTCTTTAATTACACTCATTCAAATCACTTTCTATCCTTTTTCTTCACATTCATTACATCCTGATGTTTTTTACAAATTTTATTTCTCACTTGGTGAATCATTTTTTTGTTGTTACTTTTTAGCCTGCAGCACTGTGAAGCGCTGTGCCAAAAAACTGTGCTTCTTGCCGCTGTTTTGTCCAAAAGGTTTTTTTGTTTCCCCTAATGCTTCTGAGATTGCCCAAGGTCAATATGAGCCACGCTGGTGGAAAAACAGTTAGAAGCCCTGGGTAGCACTGCAAGCCAGACTTGCTCTTATATCAGAGGTCAACTAACTGCAGTCTTCACTTGGGTGTACCAAGTGAAGAGTTTATTGTTGTCTGCACTTCATCTTTTAGTGAAGAGTCAGACAAATAGTTGCTGACCCTTCACATATGTCAGACTGGCATTTAGAAGAGACTAAGCTTATACAGCTTCTTGGTGTATACAGAGCAGTGGCACAAAAAAAAATGACTTATGCTGTGAGAAAATTAAACTAGTAATCTGGATCAGAGATGTGAGGGAGAGAGAAAGATAGCAGCCCCTATGTTCTGCCCATCTGATCAGGCTGAAGGGTGATGGGAATATAAGACTTGTGATGAAGTGAAATGGGGTCAAAATGAATTCTGTATAAAACATTTGCATATAGTGGCATGGAAATATATTCTGGGTAACTGCAAATAGCCAAACCAAAGAACCTGTGTTGAAAAGGAAACTTACAATCATGAATTTTGAGGGCGAGTAGGACCATAAATGGACCTCTACTCCTATATGGCTGCCAGTGAATAGTGTGAAAATATCATATACAAAAAGAAGACCAGCACAAGCCTGGACAGTTGCTCAACCAGATCACATGGAGTGGTAAGAATTCTCTCTGGAAAAGAACTGCAAAAACAATATATGCATCACAAACAAGAAGAGTGAAGCCCCTTTCTGGTCAGGAATAGATATGGCAAAACTGAAAGATATATGTCTCTGATTTCTAAGGAACATGGCTTAGAACTGACAGGAAATGCACCACACAGCCGACATAGATGCCTTGGATTAAGAAAGCTGAGGTATCATTGGATTGAAAACCTTGGACAGAATCTTTCCAAAGTTTTGATCTCAGGTATTTTTTTTGCCAAAAGATACCTTGGATCAAAACCTTGGACAAGATATGTCTGAGGTAAGTTTATTTTGAATGATGCCTCAGATTTTTCAATCTGGGGCATCTATGTTGGCAGTGCCAGTCATGTGACATCTGCTCAAAATGACTGTTGAACTGAGAGAAAACAGGTTACTCTGGTTCTAAGGTGAAGTGTATTGCAGGAAACCCCCACATGAGACAAAGAGGTACATTTGATGCCTCTCCTGTCATTGACTGCACACATTGTCTGGTACTGCTATCTTTCCTAGATGGTGCAGGAAATTGAAAATGGAAGAAATTTTCCCCAAGTGGGAATGGGAATATAATTAAAAGTACAGTTTTTCATAAAAGGATCTCCCAATGTAGAATAACTAAATCACATGTGATACATCAACATAACTTTTTCCAGTTTGACAAAATCATTCCAAAAATTGACTACATATACCTCCATAGCTACTCAGGCAGTCTGTAAGCCATTTGACAGTAACAGAAAGTGTGTTACATGAAGTTTAGTTGATGAAATTACACCACAGCTTTGTGTCAGTGTATGTAGTCAAGTTTTGGAATGTGTCAAGCGGAACAATATTACAGAATGTATTACATATGATTCAGTTATCCAGATGAGCAGATAACTGAGCAGGTCTGTATGTACATGCTAGCCACTCATTCACTTAGCCTGCTGCACATATGTAGTGTGGGTTATATGGCTCAGGTGTGCAGTGATAGAGCCTTTTATGACAAACTATACTCTTAATCATTTTCCCTCCCCCACTTGGGGAAAAGGCATAATTTTTACAGTGATAGGTGTAAGTTGCTGTACCAATGCTTTGCTCACCAATTCAATGGGGTGGTCACCCACCCCTGAAGCTCTATGTAGTTAGATGACAATAATAATAAACAAATGGAGCAATCAATCCAGCAGGAAGTTAGAAAGAATCAACAGCAATATTGCTGTCCAATGATACCACAGTCACACTACCTCTGCACTGAATCAAATCATTCATGTCAATTGAATAGTTATGTCTCATATCACAAAATCAGAGAACACATACAAGCAATATGACTATAGCTTTTGTAGTACATGCAGAACATCTTCACCACCACAGGCAAAAGTGTTTTCCCTTTGTAAACCCTGGGCCAGCAACACAACACTCTGCAAAACATGTATTTGCAGCTGTGTTGTGCCACAACACATAAGAAAGGACTTATGCTACTTTTCACACAGTACCACAACAACAAAAATGCAGGCTAGGTTGTGTGGTGCATCCACCACCATTTCTCAACTCAACCTGTGCAACAGCACCAAAAATTTTGTGGTTAAAAAAACATGGATCCCAAGGATCTGGTTGCACTGCAGGGCAGGCTGCAACATTTCTATGGGATCTAAGCTGCAGTGCGGACCAAAAAAGGCAAAATCTCAGAAGGGCAGCAGGCAATAGCAGTGTTGCTGGCCCAGGGTTGCTTTGTATCAAAGTCTGACTAAATTCTGTTCTGAACTGAATCCCACATGTCAAGTCAATTATTGAATCTCATCTCACAAAGCTGTAGTATACAGATAAGCCAGACGTTTACTACCCACATGTAAAGCCTCTTCAAATTTGCTAGAGATAGCATGTTTCAATTGGAAACCATTGAATAACTTCACTGTTGGCCAAATGAGAATGAATTATACTCACCTTGATGGCTGGTGAATGAGATTCACATTCAGTCAGGTCCTGGTCCCTGTAAATTGGTGACAGAATTAAGTAGTCTCAGATGGCTGAGGTGTGCGGGGAACTCTGTTTTACTGTCAATCAGAGTTTATTTATAGCTTCACTGGCTCTTCATAACACCAATATGAAACCAGTTGCAGTCTTTGCATTTATAATTTCTGACTTTCTGGCTAGATCTACTACAAGTGGAGTATGATTTCTATGATAAGCTTGAAAAAAAACCAAAATTATTGAATACATAATCTCACTTGATTGCAACAATTTGGTTGCCTGTGCTTCTGACCGCTTTCTTTTTAACAAGAATTTTTGACACCAGAAATTGCACTTAACAAGTATCTTCTTCTTCTCTGGTAAATATGTTCAAAAATATTATCTTCACAGTACTCCTGTGGGCACTGCCCTTCACCTTGGTATCACCAATTAAGATTGGTGAGCTCTGTTTTTTGGATCTAGTCTGTCTATATATTCTACTCTGTTTCTTGGAATACTTATCTTGATTACCCACTTGGTTTTACAACCCTTCACCATTGGGGAGAAAATAGACACAGTATCCCACCATGCCAATGGGTATGAAAGTGAGTTCTGATATACAATTTCAAATTGATGCTCAGAGATAAAGTGCTGAACTTTGGCAATTGGAAAAAGGGGAACATATGGAAAAGATTTCCAAGAGTTTCATAAGCCATGTGACTGGATTCCCTCCAGAGGATGAAAAACTTGAGGACCTTTTCAGTTCTAACCCAACCATCATATACAAAGGACAATCACATTCAATTTCAGGTTAGTTATAAGTTCCAAACATGCTTGATCATTCCCTTCATATCTCTTTGATCAGAAGCTGTATACATTGCTCAATAGCTTCTCTTGCCTATTAACAACTTGTTATTCCAGATTTTTGTCATCTTTCATTGGAAGGAGAATTCCGTGCCTATCGGCACCAAGGAGTACCTAAATGTAAGTCATCAGAAAACTTGCAAGAGTTTGTAAAGCTTTGGGTTTGCTAAGTTGATACTTCTCTTTTGCAAAGGACAGTGGTTGAGTCCAATCCTGAGCATCCTGATAAGTGGATTCTGACTTGGAAGTGGAACTGTCTTCAAGAAGAAGGTTGGAGTGAGGGGATTGTAACAGTTGGGATCTTATCATGGAGTGGAATGATTTCCAGTGTGTTCTTTGATAAAAAATGTTCTCCTGAAGTCTAACTGGAGCTTTGACTTTCCTACATTTAGTTTTCAATTCATTATCAAAGTTATCTATCCCAATATGACATCATGGGTGGTCCCTTGCACACAAAAGATGATTCCAGGATATCATGCAATTAAGTTGGGGGTAACTCACATCCCAGATCTCATTGGGTTCACATTTTCAATGCCATCTCTAACCCTGGGCAATTTGAGAGTGGATGCAGAGGTGTGCACTATCCACATATGCAAGGGTTTTACTATCAGTTATCTTATAGGACAACTCTCACTAGTTTGAAGTGGTGGTACCAGTTACAAGGAAGCAATACTAGCCCCTTCTGACCCCAAAATGAAGCACTGAGGACTGATCTGGCAGGATCACTAACATATTTACTTGATGCCCTCAGTTTTTCCTTCATCAAGAGATCAACACCACTGGACAAGACTTGGCCAGGGTTGGGATACAGATCTGGATTTTCACTTGTATCTAAACTGTGTTTGTTTTAACACACTTTGAGCATGATTGAATTTACCGCCTACATAGATACCTTGGTCTGAAACCTGAGTTATCATCAGATCAAATTCTTGGACAGATCTTGTCTGTGCCAAAAAAAACCTCAGATCAAATCCCCCAGAAGATTCTGTCTCATGATTTGTGTCCAATGATAGCTTGGATTTTTCAATCCAAGGTAAATTTGTTGACTTTGCTTGGTTTGTGTAATCAGAGGCATCATCAGATGTAAACCCTTGGACAGATCAAAATCTCCAAAAGATTATGTCCGAGGATCTGGTTCCAAGGATCCCTCATATTTTGCAATCCAAGGTAAATTTGTTGGCTGTGAGATGAAGCAATAGTTTCAATCAAAAAATCTTTATTGACTTTGAGGTACAGAAGATCCACCAAAAGACCTCCAGAGAAGAGACCAAGGAAAAGAAATGAGTTTTTACCTCTATGAGATAATTCAACCTACCACAGTGTTGGATATTAAGGCCTTCTCAACAAGGCCCCATAGAAAATGAAGCACTTAAACTGGCACTTCATATATTTTCATCTACACAGCCAACACAGATACCTGGTATGTTTGATTGGACTCTGGGTCCAAGGAAATGTTTCAAGACTTCTTTTAGGCCCAAAAGAAGCCTTGGATCAAGTACTTGAACACCTTTTCCGAGGTTATTGCCATCCCATGCTCCTTGGATATGGGGATCTGAGGCATCTTTGTTGGCAGTGCTACCCATAATATGCATTTGCTATGCATTTCTGAGCTTGTTGGAGGTAGTGATCACACTCTGATATTGAACTTGACCTGGCCTGGCACCCATTGGGTTTTTGTCAAACCAACTGACCAGTGAGACACATTGGTGGATAGAAGTATATCCAGGCACATTTGTGAGTCTTAAAAACTTATTTAGATCTCTAAGGTGTCAAGAATGATTTCCCACTCTTTGGATCATTCCTTGGTAGATTAAAGGAATTACCAGCCAGAAGAAAAAGTCTAAACCTCAAGTTCAACAAGTTTGATTGGAGACAGTGTGAACAAATTTGGGTTTTAGACAAAGTTCAGATAGCTGGGGACTCGTGCTTTATTTATTAATGATGCCACTGTTTGAGTACAACTGACCACTCAGATTTTATTAACACTATGTAATCATTGTCACGAGAACCGGTTTCTGACCATTTTGTGCCAGAATTATATTTATATCATGTCAGTAATTTATTGGTATAAATCCTTCTGAGACTATCTGAAGTTGTCAGTTTGTTATCAACTGTTATGATGCTTGTCATGTGAGAGTTATGTCATTAAATAATCATGGTTTGCTGATTGCATTTCACTCTAAATATCTTTATACATGACTAGCATAATTTGATTATATAGGCTAGTCGGGGGATCCTCATCAGACAGTTCTTGGGCATCACCAGAGATGGAAGTGATGTTGAGCTTGAATAAGGCAGTCCAAGGTGAACTATAGAATGTCTCCCATATGAGTGTGCAAGTTCTGATTGACGACTCGTTTCCTTGATGTATGAGCTAAACTGATCTCTGACTCAGAACATGCACAGAAAGAGATCAAAAATGATCCAAGCAATGATTTTGACTATACAAGATTTTTTTGTTTTAAAACTCATCAAGGAACATCAAATTGATATCAAGCCTAACCCCCGCCATACAAGATTTTTTCGTAAACAAAAAAACTCTCACATCAATCAATATAACTATCATGAGAAAAATTTGAGAGAGAATGAAAGCAAAAGAAATCAAACAAGAAGATTAAAATAGGTTTAATAAAGATTTCTTAATAAATGAGAACAATCAGGATTTAGCAAGCAAAAGAAAAGACGCCACCATGTTTTTATTTACATACCCCCACTAAATAAACATCTTGACTGTTTGTTTTTGTTTTTCTCTTTTCAATACCATCACTCAAATATGCAGCACAGAGAAACACGAAGGAAAACTCAGAAAAAAGAAAAGAAGACGAAAAGTCTGTCGTATACAGAGACCCGATCGTAGGATGAAGATTGATCTGCGTTTTAGTTCGATGTGAGGTGAAGAGTTTGAACAGGATGAAATCCAAAAGAACAAGCTCTAGAACAATCTTCAACAAAAGAAAGCAGAAATCCTAAATAGAAAAAGTACCAAACACAAGACCATACACATCGGGTAAATTTCTTATGTTAGTTGTTCGAATGTGTTGTACAAGGGGGGTAGAAACCGAGCCGAGTTAATGCTATTGATCAAGAAAGGAACAGACGATAAATCGAAAATTGGTGAGTGAAAAGTTCCCCAAAAAACGACGATCTTGCATAACTTGTTTCATTTTGTAGTGATAATTGTCGTCCATGGTGGTCAAGCAACGCATGTGTAGAAACATCATATAATAGCTGATGGTTTTCGTAAGTAGAAGATAAACGTGAATGTGTCATAAGATAAAGCAAACGAGAGAGCATAACCATGGGCATATAAAGATGATGTGTGATGATTTCATGTGCATATTGAGGCGTGGTAATGAGGGGTTGTAGGGATGACGAAGCCTTCAAATGCGCATCGGTGTATTGGGAAGGGACCGATGACGCTGTTGAGCAGAATTGTAATCACCCGCTGTCAGACTTGGTTTCCTCGACGATACCAAGAGCGCGCCAGAAACCTCATCGGAGTTTGCCTATAATGATAGCAGGTGATCAGTCAGTGAGCGAATCAGACTATGGAAGGACTATTGGATAAAGACTACTCACCCATGGGAATGAAGGAAGATGCCGACGATTTGATGGATCATACAAAGGTGTGGATTTTGTTGCGTTGAGGCGACATTTCGATGATAGAGATGAAACGCTAACAGAAGAATCCTCAACACAAGAGGATTGTACACCTGATAAGATGGCATCGTTGCCAGGTTGATAGGGAGTCATGATGGACGGGTGATCGGGATGCGCAGCTTGACCAGTTTTAGCAGGAGTTTGGGTTGCCCGGAACGGTGCTGGTGACGCTGGCGTCCTGGCAAGCGGCACGTTTTCCTTGGTCTCCTCGACAACATTTGCTAGCTCGATTGGCGATGCACTCTGAGACACAGTTGAGCTGACTGTGGGCAAAGTGAATGGAGGAGGCGGTAGAGACGACGAGTGACCTGTGCGTGATGTGACAGGTTCAGCAGCTGGAGTGGAACTACCACTTGCGAAGCAGGTTGAGTTATCGGATGGAAGGATGATGTCGCCTGCTGTCTTAGTTGGTACTGTCCGTGTTTGGGGGCCGCATGCGGCAGATCTGCGTAGGTTCTGCACTCTAGCCAAGGTTGGTAGATCGTTTGGAAGACGATCGTCCACTTTATCACCGTCAGACGCATTCAGGTGGTTTGAGGGGGCCGAAACCTCGGGAAATAGGTAGATTTCATGTTTCAAACGACTGTCACATGTAGCTGATTGGCGGCGTCCGCATGAAGCCTTATTCCGCTGGGAGCGATGAAATGGATTGACTCGAGTCCGCAGAGGTAACTCTCCTAAGACAAGCCTACCAGTAGAGACACTGGGCCTCAGGGAGCGACGAGAAGGTGACAATAGCTGGGGGGATGATTTGATACCAGTAGGAGTAGGCGGATACAGGCTCGAAGGCTTTGCGACTGGAGAAGCCGATGAAGGTAGGATATTTTGAGGCGCCGAGATTTCTGGGTCGTAGTAGAGTTCGAAGGTGGAACTGCGATCCATGACGAGGAGTGGAGATAGGGTGGTAAAAGGAGATCAGATAGGAAGGGTAACGAGACCGTTCGGTTTCGGATTTGTATGCAGGATTGATGGCGACGAGGTAAGGAAGCCCGGTGTGATTTGCCACCAAGATCTCACAGGTATGACCCAAGAAGTGATGGAAGGATTGTTGAGGGTTTAGCTGTTAATACAATGAGGTTGAAGATAAAGTAAGTTTAAAAAAGTTTAAAACCACCGAGTCGAAACTTGTCACGCTCGGCTCAAGGGTGAAAGAATAAAATTGCAAGGATCGAAGGTTGAGGCTGGGGGAGTGAGATCTTTAAAGCTTACCAATTGATGGAGTACAGTTGCAAATTTATTCGGTTTGAAGTATGTTGTCCGGCCGAATGAAGGATACACAAAGAGAGCAAGATGCGGCAGACTATATGCTGACAGGCAGTCTAGGCAGAGTGATCAGGTGCGATGAGGGAAATGGTGGCGATAAAGCAGATTGTACAGCAACTCGATTGATAGAGTGCAAGACAAACAGATATGTGGAAATGGATGGCAAAGAGGTTGATACAATGCTTAAAGAGACCGACAAGCGGTCAAGTGCGATTTAAATCCTTAAAATGATCAAGAGGCAGAGATCAAGAAGAGCAAAGAGAGCAGGTAGAAAAGGCGGACCGAGGTTGAGGCAAGAAGGCGGAGAATGTGAATTTTGAGAGGTAAAAGGTATTGGTGATTTAAAACGTGCGCTGAGAAGACCGATAGCGAGTGACTAGTCGAGAATCGCCGATATGATAGAACCAAAAGCAACTTGGGATCTGAACTGGGTTGATCGAGGCGAGGAATGTGAGTGCGAGAACGGCTGTTGAAGTGACAGGGTCGAATCAGCGGTTGGGAAGTATTCGATCAAAGTTGGTTAGGTCGAGAATAAAGTGAAAAAATAAGGGCAAGTTACTGCATCAGCATGAAGGAGTAAGCAAGCATATATAGTAAACAAACAACAAAGTAATTTGAATGATCTGGACAAAGTAAAGGTGACCGAACCGGTTTAAAAAGAATCAAATACAGCAATCGGGTTGAGCCGGAACGGAAGAAAAGACTGGGGGGACAGAGAGATGGACAGATTATAGTGATCAAATTAAACGAAGGACAGATTTTTTCAGAGGGAAGTCTGTATCGCAAAATATCAAAAATATAGCTTAAGGCTGGTGGGCTGATTGGCTTCGTTGGCTGGCTGAATTTTGACTGACTATCCTATCACGAGCGAGGGTCAGATTTAACTGAAGCTAGACTACAAATGAAAGTAGTGTATCGACTGGCTTGAGATTAGTGAGTGAAGAAAGGGAAGAGAGACAGAGAGAGAGAGGTAGCACGAAATAGTGGCGGGTGGTGAGGGAGACTGAAGTTCACACCAAGTTGGAGCAGGTTGGACTCTGGAGCTCTTTAGGAGATTAGTGAATGATGATAAAGTACACGAGAGAGGAATTGGATGAGATTTTAGGAAGATGAGGAAACGGGAAATCAGAAGAGGGTGGGGATGGTAAGTTATTACAACAAGAGGTGGGTTGATTGTATGCAGGTGAATTTGTATCAAAACCTTTTTTGAAATCTGACGGTCACTGTATGAACAAAAATCATTAAATTGATTGACCAGAATCGATTTACATCAAGAAACTCGTGTCCTCCTCAACAAAACTCTTTTTTGTTTTTGTCGATGATTCACCGAACCTCGAGCTAAAATACATCCATTACGTATTAGAAGCATCTCGTTCAGTTGGGTGCATCTTTCAGCTGATACATGGCTCTATTCGGTCTAATTTGACGTGAACCTTCAAGAAAAACAAAATAAAAAAGTTGGGACAGGACATTACAAATTTCTTGAATAGCAGTAAATGATCAACAGAGGGGTTTCTCTCTTTCTCTGTTGTTCAGTCAATAAAATAGGTTTCCTTTATCGAATGGACTGTACATATATGTATGTAGAAGACTGATTTTACAAGATTGCAAAGTGGAAATTGAAAACTGTCATCTTCATCCACCTCCTTCATGGTGCATCATCATCAAGTGCAATTTTCAATTCTCACATTAGAAGAAGAGCACTAAGAAATCTATCTAAACGCTTTAAACTACTGCATCTCATCATCAATCAAACTTGTTCATAGACATTTATAGAAGTTTTAAGAAATCTAATGTGGCTTCTCATAAGCACCGAGCTGCACCGAGCGGAGAATTATGAATTGACTTGGATTCGGAAGAAATCGAACCTTTGAGAATCCACACAATACACTCGAGTAGAATGTATGCATCTAACTCATGATCCATTGAACAACAGAAGAATCATATTCATGATACCATTCGCTCAAGCACAAGCCTTGGTGTCTCGTCGTAAGGGATGAGAAAAAGCTTAAAACCATAACAAGGGTTTCCCATGATTAGCACCCCAGGGCTCACGGTAGCAATCGTTTTCGCACACTTCAAGTGTTGCCTTTAACCTGCGGATCACATTTATTGATCAAGCAGAGAGTCACACGGAGACATCCGAGTCACCGCGGGAGATATAAACAAACGAAATATGTTCAAATCCCGGCACGGAACGGGCGCTGGGACCATTTGTTATAGCAGCCCTTCCAAGCGTTGACGACCGCATGGATGGAGAAAGAAAAATCGGGAAAGGGTTGTGATATATAAAAAATGCGCAGATTGAGCAAATGGTAGGGAGAGTAACATACCTCGTGACGAAGAAACAGTGCTGTGAGGTTTGTCTTGGTAGTTTCGATATGTATTGATGGAGAAGTGATTCGAAAGAAATAAGCAATCGCTGCTGTGCGGATTTGTGTGTCCAGGAGCCAGGGGACGACGATTGCCGTAAGCACAGCTTATATGTGAATTTGTACGTTCTTGTGGGTACTACTTTCAGACGATCGAGAGGAATGGCTTTCGGCAACTTGCGGCTAGGAAGACCCACAAAGATTTCAACCTTCAAGCGACTCAGCCTGGCCTGTGGTTTGAATTTGTACCCATTATGTACAGCATAGTCATGCCTTAGCTAATTCACATTTGGTGTGATTTGCTATGGTTGATCAAGAATCTTATGTGAGTGCATGTCGAGATTAGGCTGAAAGTGGTTGATCATGAACTATGTTGTGGTATGTGTCCATCTACCTGAGCATCACCAAGTATCACAGGGGGTATACTCGCCGATCAGCAAATCTTGAAAGTTTGGCCAGCACGCGTATATAGAAAACATTCCACAACAAAGGCTGAAATCAAAAAGGGGCACATACCGATTTCTATATGGAATGGATTGAAAATAACATTGGTCAGGATGCAAGTGCAAAGATTGGTCAGCATCGATTTTTCTTCACTTTATAATCAGGAGTGGACATGGATACATATGTCTGCTGAAGGTCTTTCTAAACTTCTCCTCAAACCCAATCCCTCGGAATTCTCGCTTGGAATTTTAAGAAAGAAACAAGTCGAGCCTGTCTTTGACAGTTCTTTGAGGATTAAAGCCTTAGTCATTCTCACGGTGAAAAGCTTGATTGTACCCGACCGATTTAGTCTCGTTATGTAGGTTTCTTTCTTTAGTCTCTTTCTTCCTCCTTTCTTAAGATTCACCCTTGTGACATCTTGCGCCAATTCACTCATGGCCTTGAAATTAACAACTCTACCTTGGCTTACGTAGTTGATACATTTTTAAAGTGACAAGCAAAATACAAAGAATCGATTCTTTTTTTTTGATCTCGATTCTCACCGGGGAGAGCCGGGGAGATAAGGAAACCGTCATTGAAGCCGGAACTCGGCATGCTCAGGAATCAAGTGACAGCGTACATACATATATGAGTTATAATTCCTCTCAGTCTCTGGTCCGTCCTGTCAAGGTCGAACAATTTGATTCTTTCACCGTTCTTATTCATCATCTGAACCTTAGCGCAAGAAGAGGCTCACTTAAACTAAATCTGAACCCTCTCTTACAGTCAATTCTGCAAAGCTTATCACAAATTCCCCGCCAATTTGTTCGAGTTCTGCGGGCAAAATTGGTCAAGCTTTTGTGAAGTGACTGTATTTATAAGAGTTAAATATTCATGTGTATAAGAGTTAAGACCTACGTGATCTGCTCGTCAGAGGCTCTTGGGTCTTCCAAAAACGTGATAGTTGATTGATTTGCTTATGAAGTTGATATAAAATTATATTAAGAAGCAACACTCAAAAGGGAAAGAGGCTCAAGGCTATGTAAGAGAGCTGTTGCCCTTTTGTTAATTGACCCGCCAAATCCGATGGTAGATTTATTGCAATGTGATCTTTATCACGACAATTCAATTGCGGTACAAACTACCGCAATTGGTGGGCTTCATCACGAGATCTCTCTTCTCTCTTTGGGGTCTTTTGTACGTGCTCTAAAACTAGACTACCTGTACATATATATTCTGGTTAGCCGTTGTTATTCAGCCATGAGGATTCCAAAGTTAGAATTAAAAAAATTCAAATCAGGAAAAGTGGAATTGACACAAATCAAATAGCCAAGCTCAGAAAGTGCTGGGCCAAGTTCCCCAGGGCCAAAGGGATAAAATATCATCATTTCCAAAACAACAACAGCACTCTCTCTGACCCACCTATCAAAAGGGCATAGACTTAAGAATGGCAAAGAAGGGAAGATACAATAAATATTAAATGACCAGACAGAACAAAAATGAGTTGTGTTTCAAATAAGTAAGACTATAGATTTGACTTCTAGACTTCAAATAATTTTCCTCTTTCTTCTAATTATATAACATAGATAGAAAGGTGGAAAAAATAAGGACAATCTCACTTTTTTTAAGAAAAAGAAACAGAAGCTCTAATATGCAAAGAAGGACCAATCACATGATTCTGAGATTCAGGGAATGAAGTTCATGGTAGCTCCAGATTGGGCCAAAGTAGTAGCACCACCAGAACAAAGAGAATGGCCAGAGAATTCCTTGTCAAATTGCTTATGGAAGCAAGATCAAAAACCAGAAACTTGACAAAGAAATACCCTTAGAAGTTAAGTATAATTGATGACATGCTAAAAAACAATGATCCTTATGTCAAGGTAAGATAACATGATCTTCACCAGACAAGCAGATGAATTCTTGAAGTATTGGACAATCACCAAAGCTCCTGTGAAGCCAGTATTTCCTTTTGAATAAGGTAAAAGATATTTGATAACTATGCTACAATCAGATAACCTGGATGAGCTCCAAAGAATGATCTTTGTTGGATCAAATCACTTCTCTGAATCCAAACAGTTTTCCCCAGGTAATGCAAACCACCAAACCCCACACATAATAAAGCTAAAACTAATCTGTCATTGTGAATTGATCCCATACTAGAGACACAGCATTGAAAATGAAGAAGAGTTAATGGGCTTTTCCTAACAACAGGTTTTGAATGGTTCTTGATGCAACTTTCCATTGTAGATCTAACCTCTTAAACTCTTGATTTGCAAACTATAGTTGAATATATTTTAAATTAAAAGTAAAAGTCATACTGACTAACTAAACCAAACAGATCTAGGACAGCTCTTCAAGCTGGTATAAGATATATTGTCACACAAAGTTTCGGCATCTGGCTTAAAAAGATAGCCAAACTGTTGGCATAAACAAAAACAAAACTTTTAACGCCTGCTTTGTATGTTTGAATATTTGACAGATTAACAGTTAACTGTATATTCTTCTTACATGACATTTTTGAACTCCCAAGAAATCCATCCCTGCATTGACTGCCAGTCCCTAAGAGAATGCTGAGGAACCAATACAAATTGTATCAAAGCTTTAATAATAAGCTCTTTCTTATCTGGCTCAAGGTAAATACTCATCTTCTATGAACCTAACATACAACCAAAAAATCATTGAAAGAACCATGAACCTGCTCCTTCCAAGCCCACAGAACACCCAAAATGTTGAAAACCATCAACATCTTTGCTTGAAGAGAAGGAATTTGATGCTCTTTGAAAGTCACCCAGTCCTTTGCATCTACAATGGATCAAACATGGTCCATCATACTGTTTAAATATTTTATATGAAAAATTACCTTGGCAATCCACAAGACTCAAGAGAAAATATCACACTACCAGCATAAAGTAATTTTCTCATGCAAAAACTGATTACATTCAATGCATCATGTAATTGAAAATGCTGATCTAATGCTGATCTAATGGATTTTCACTGATTTGTTACTCTAAATATAATCAATTTTTCCACACAAAAATTACTGTATGCTGGTAGTGCCACACCAGATGTGTGGCAATGCTGAAGACCAAGAAGCAAGATTATGATCTACATACTCTGTATCTTCCCTTCCTTTTAATTTGAAGAATTTGGTTGTATATTGTGGGTGAGCCGGAAGTGGCCTGAAAGCACCTTCTATGTCTGATTTGAACACAGTTACATTCATTTGCTTCTTCTTCAACTTCATCAAAAAATGAGCCATTGATTTTAAAGAGTCATAAGAAATTTCTGTCTTATCCTTATCAATCAAAGCATTTGGCAAGGGTTTTCAAAATCTCATGTTCAAACCAACTCTCATCCTTGTACATAGAGCCATTCTTTGGTGTCAGCAAGAAAGAAATAACCTTCATTCCTGGTAAAAGTGGCAAAAATTCATCAAAATAAGTTCCTTTACTAGTCTCCTCTTTACATTGCTCTTCCAGTAAAGCTTGATTATCAACACAAGTTTGATGATTTGGAATGTTGACTATTTCTGATGAAGGTAAAGGCATCTTCAGCCTGAGCCCCAACCTGAAAAACACAAGTAATGGCCCCCTGCACCCCACACCAATATCCAATAAGCCCCCCCGCGCCTGAACCCTACCCTGAGCCAATCAAAACCCGGCTCTCAGAAGCCCCCCCAACCCCTATCCCAAATGCCTAAAACCCGTGGGAACCTGGGGACCCCGCAGATACCATTGGGGGTTTGAGGACTATTGGGGTCTCAAAAAGCCTGACCAAACCCGCACCCCAAGGGTTTGGGGCTTGGGGAACCCTTGGGGCCTTGGTTCCGGGGCTCAGGCTGAGGAAAAGACGGTCAAAATCCCTCCTGAATACCTTTGATAACTGAACCAATAGCAGGCTAGTTTGGATAAGATTGTAAGATCTATTTCATCTTGTCTACCTCATAGGACATTGAATTTTGAATGAGTAATGGCATTATTCCAAAGTTAAATTTTGCATCACCACCTTCTTTGTGAGAGGGGGCATTTGGCAAAGGTTCAGCATTTCAACTAGATTTGATTGCTACTGAAAACCCAAATCAACAGGTTTCATCACACTGGTAACCTCAGCTGTGTTGGCAATGCTGACAATTGTGTGTAACAGCCCTAGACATTCTAAATACCACTATGGTTGTTAGTACACATATCAACATATCACAACAAACCAGAGAGTTTTATAATGTCAAACATACAAAAAAGTGAATGTGCCCGCAAGTAGGATCAATGTTACACACAATTTGAATCTGTATTCACAGGTTTTTGTGTTGAATTACTATATAGGTTGAAAGCTACTTTGTGGTTAAGAAGGGATTGAATTAAACTGACACAAAGAGAAAGCTGAATTTTTTTGTATACATTGGAACTTTTTCACAACACAGATCATATACCACCACACAAGGAATAAACAAATCTGAAATATTGACTCAAAGCAACAGGACTAGAAGAAGGAGCAGATAAAAAACTATGGTGATAGTAAGCACTACCAAAATACCAACAATGGGCTGTTGCACTGTGTTTTAGAACACAGCAAATCAATCTTCTTACCTATAAGTCTACAACACAAGCAAAGGAAACTCCCATTATGTGCCACACAACACCATTGGCCTTAGCTCTGGTTGCTTGTGTGGCTCTTGTTGCTGAGCTTCTGTTGCTTCCATTGCACACCTTAGATGCAGAGGAGAAAGTTGATGGTATAGGCATAAGTGAACAATAAGCATAAGGCACGATCAATAAAAAGAAGAAAAAGAATGATTGATAAAGAAGAAAATGACAAGGATCGGAATTGAGAAAAAGGTCATTTGAAAATCAAAAACCACAACATCAACCCGGTCATAGTAATATCCATTGCAGGGTTGTGTTGCTGACAAAGTGGCCACAACCTCAATCCAACAAGCTGAAACCTTACACCTCAAGGTATGTTGTGTTGTGTTACCAAGTTTTTCCGCCGCTTGATATGGCCGTATGTTTCACACTTAAAGCGACACACCAGGCCCAACATTCAAAATATCAAGTTTCAAGCACATCACAATCTTTGGAAGCCCAATCTTCAAAATCACTATCTAAGTTTAAAATGCTGCCTTATCCCCCACAATATTGTTGCATTGATCCATACCTCCCAACACCCAAAAATCAGATATGATATACTTTCAATACTGCAAAACAACCTCTTCATAATCCATGAAATCGGCTTTGATGGATTTCTTAAGAATCATAACACAATAAGGGGGCTCAAGTCAAAATTTTTGCGGCCTTTTCTTAAAAAATTGGGGAAAGTTTTTTACAGTACCGTGCTGTAAAAACTTTTCCCAATTCGTAAAAAAGGACCACAAAAATTTCTTTTGGATCTCCTTCTGAGCACCAGATTTACACAAATTTGCGTAAATTTGCTGCTTAAAAAAATTTGGGATGACGTATAACTTTTCCCAATTGCATAAAATTTTGCGTAAATTTTATGCAATTGGGAAAAAAAAATTATGATAAAAGTAGTAAAATATTTTGACTTGAGCCCCCCTAATATACCTATTCCTCCAATTTGTTGATGTCCTATCTAGGAGTGGTTGTTAAAATAAGAAAAAAGGTTTTGAACAGACATACAATTTGAGTCTCATTTTAGTTCATCAACGGTACCCAACTCGAATGAAAAATCAGAACAATGTCTGTACCAACCAATTCTTTGAATAAAAAGTGTATGACTTTCAGTGAGCAAACCTCGATGATGTAGCCCATCAAACCATTTCCCAACCCACCAACTTTTTAAATAAGACTTTTTCAATCTCATTCAAGTTCAACTTACTTATAATTTCTAGCAGCACTCTCCGTTTCATATAAGCTAATCACAACACTAGAGATTTGTTGATTACCTCTTTAAAAAATTAAATAAAGATTTCAAGATCATGATGAGTAGCAAATGGTTTTGTAAAAGGCATGCATTGGCTTTTGGAACAGTATAGAAAAAAAACCACTTTTGGATCACCATTCAACAAGACTCATCAACCAAAAACCAATAAGCAATTTTTTTCTTTGCCTTTCCCAAACCCCAAACATAGATAGACATTAGGAAAACCCATTTTCTTCAATAAAGAGAAACCCAAATCTATATCTACAAAGATAAACTCCACTTCTCCTCAACATTACACGATCAATCAAACTTCACCATCCCTCAAATTGATCAAAAAGTAAAACCTTCGATTACACATTGCGATTTGTAAATATTCACCTTAAAAAATCATGTATATACATATATACCTACACATTTCTTTAATCCTTATATCAGTGATGATAATAAAGATCATACAACTTTATACATCCATACAATCCTTTTTACCCCTTCTAAGTCTTTAAACCCACACACACACTGTGTAATCATAAAATAATAATACTAATGAAAGTTTTTTTTTCTTGGTTTTGATTTACAAATGAAAATGGTAAAGTTAACAACAACAAAAGATAAAAGGTTTTGTTCACACGAATTTTGTTTTTGTTTTCATAAATCTTTCCATCACATTCCATCATCAACCAAAACCCCAAATGCAAACCATAGATTTCCTTCCAAAAACCATTTTTAAAACTTGATATTTTGCTTCGCTTAAAGAGTACTAATATAAGATTTGATTATGACGTTTGATTAACTTTTTCTTTTCTTTCTCTTTTGATTTCATTATTCATAATAGCCATTTCCTGTTTAACGAGATGTTCAAACCAAACCAAACTCAAGAACCCAACTCTAGATCCTTTAGGTTTAAGTTTCTGAACGATTCCAATCACTTGAGTTTCATAATCTAATTCTTGAATCTCAATCGATCCTCTCATCTTCATTCCTTTCTCTCCTGAATTAGGAGGTGTATGAAACTTTATTCTGAAAACCGGCCAATGTTTCCATCTGTTATGATTAAATTCAAATTTTTCAAACTTCATCTTCTTTTGAGTTTCGATTGCACAATACTTTTTAAATTCAGATTCGTGTCTTGCTAATTGATCATGTCGTTTAGGATCAATCGTTTCTTTTATAAACTTTAAGATCTTTGCACCTGTATCTAAACATAACGAAGCTGACCAACGTGAGGATGGATCGGCTTCTGATTTCACCAAGGCTGGGATTTCTTTGGTTACTAAGGATTCGGATTTTCGTATGAATCCTGATTTGTCTCGGAATCCTATGTTGATGAGAGGAGTGCCTAGTAAAACTGGAAAAAGCGAAACGAATGAAGGGCAAGTGGCCCTGATGTCAGTCAGCTTAATGATATGAATCAAAACGAAATCACAAATCCAAAAAAGACAACTCCAAAGAGATCAAAGGATTTTGAGTCAAAAGATCCAAAAACGATGACTCAACAAGACTGAAGCCAAAACTTTAACATCTTATAACGTTGAAACGTTCTACTTTCCCGATCATTAGTAATCAAAGCCGATGTTTTAATTTCAATAAACTCATCAGGTTGGATTTCAGTTTTGTTTTCCAAATGAGTTTGAAGTTGATGAAATCCTTCTGGTTTAATACAATCCACTTCGCCACCCAAGATCAATTTAATTTGATTTAAATTAGTTTTTACGACACTACACCATTGGATATTAGTGTCAACTTGATCAAATCCTCCTATAGCACTGGTCATCAAACTTTCATAACTATGTCCAAAGTATGTTGGAATGATGTTTTGACTTTCGGTTTGTTTGGCTGCGATCGATTCAGGCGTCACACTTTCTTCTATGTAAATCGTTCCATTCACCATCATCGCATTCATTTCCCAACCTGAGTTATGTGAAGATGATCCTTCATAAACTGCACTGCAGATCTTTGTTAACATTCCTCTCCAGGTGATAAACTCTGTTTCGGCTATCCTTCGTAAAAGACCTAATCGTGCTGTCTTTTCACAACTCTCTAGCTGGTGAGATAGACTAAGAGCCAAAAGAGGTTCATACAATCAGACTTTGAGAGATGATCGGAAGAAACATCGAATGCTTACCAGAGCAGCATCCCATCTAATCCTTCATCCACCGATTCGTCTCGATATATCCGCTCATCAATCCCCGTTCTTAAATCGAATCCAATACAATCAGGTGCATCAACAAAAGGTCTAAGACTTTCAAACCTTCTGAGTCCATTTAACATCTGACGACCTTTGGTGTAAGAGAAAGAACTCATAGCGATTGGTTTTTGATAGATTGGATCTTTGATTTGTTTTCCAGATTGAAAAACACCATTGTAAACAGGAGGAGGAAGTTGGAATGTAACGGCTTGCATGGGTTTACGGTTTTCGGGTGGGTAGAGTGGTTCACGTGATGCTGAGGACGTGAATAGATTAGGTTGGATTGCATTGAGGGGTGTTTCTTGATGAACTGGCTCATGTTGTTGATTGGATCCTAGTTGGGTTCAATGATATTGATTAGATTGGTTTCTTAGATTTGATTGATTTGAATGAGTTTGGTTTACCTTCAGATTGATTTGGATGGTTATCTTGTTCTTGATTTGATTGTTGATTTGATTGTTGATCTGATTGTTGATCTGAAGTGATTGTAGTATTTTGATCGATTGATTGACGAATAGCAGTAGGAGACAAAAGTTCTCTTAGTCGAGATGGTAATGGACCATTGTTTTCGATCGATCTACGAGGATTAGAACGAGGTGGTGAAGCAGGAGCACTGTTAAGCAAATGAGCTAGATTCACTGGCATCCTCAAAAGAAACAACAACTTGACTGTTTAGTGAAGACTTCTCAGATCGAAGCCTCAATTTCAATTTCAAATTCAAATTCAAAACCACATTACACACTAACACATCACACTTCTATGTATCACCCATAATCTAACTCACATGCTCTCAGCAAAACAGTTGGCTACCAGAGCAATGACCCATCCATTCATATTCGAGACATTTTGAGCATCATTAAATAAAATGAAAAAGTAGAATACCCAAAAAGAATACAAAGTTAAAATACCAAACTATAGATAGAAAGAAGAACGAAAACAACAAGATCAAGAATTTTCAATTTCTTTCAACCAACCACCTTCAATTAACCTTTCAACTTCACCACGTTTCACAAAATACCTAGACCCCAACTCAAACTGAATCATTCCACCCCCATCCCCAATCGAGACTTCACCCAATTCTTTTATACATTCAACTTGAATAAACAAATCTTTAGGAGGACCTCTTGAAAGGTTACCCAAGAGATTGATCGTATAAGCTTGGTATGGTCTTGAAAGATCATTCACTAGATTCGAATGTGATCTTAGGTAATCTAATTCGGATGGTGTTAAGACTTTTGAAATCGGGTCTGAGACCGTTGATGTGGATGAGATGGTCGTGGATGTGATATTGGTTGAAGAAGCTGAAAGCGTGTTGGGTATTGAACCTGATGAAGCCCAGTATGCGTCTAAGATTGCGTTCCTACGTTGCATGGCATAAGCTAATAAAACACGTTTATTATGACGCGCTGTTGCAGCAGCTAAACAAAAACAAACAAACCACAATCAACACATGATATTCTCTGATCTTTAAGGAATTTATAAGGATTGAAACACCAACACATTCGAAGTGCACACATCACTCCATCATCCATCTCTACAGCTCCAGTTCCATGTAATTCTTCTTCATTCCGAAAATAATCAGCAGCCGTTTGAAGTTTTTCTGATAACCCTCTGGTTTCTCTTTGAAGAGTTCTTACGAGTTGATCTTCGAATGGTCTGATCGCATCGGCTGAACGAGCACGTAATGAAGAAGTTAGTAGAGCTGAAAGTGTACTGAAAGGTTGAGGTTGAGAATTGCTGATGGAGTTGGACATGATGAATGGGATTTCAATGGATTTGAAGCTGAGACCACCAGTCACGAGTCAACCCATCGGTGGATTCGTCTCTGTCCCGATCTGTGAAAGGTATACTGTAAATGGCATACATGTACCCAAACTTTTTTCGATCAACTGACAAAATATTCCACACATGAACATTTCCAAAAAATGCTAAGCAATCCAATCCTTTCAACTTCTTCTTCTTATCATCATCACCATCGTTCATTCTTTTCAACATGTTCAAGTACACTCTTACATTCGAAAAAAAGAAAACCAACTTTAATTATCAATCCGGATTTAAATTCTATGAAAACTAGTTTTGAATGGGAAACCGAATTACGTAGAAGACAAAAAGTTGCCAAAGAAAGAGGTAGAAAGGTATTTTGGATTCGAATCTATTGATAATTCATTTTAAACCTATGACTAACTTTCTTTTTCGTTTGGATTTCGTTTTGTGAATTAAGGGTCCAACGTTTGTAGATAAATTAAAGATTGAAATTCGTGCTGGTAAATAGTAAGGTTCTTGTCAAACCCCATTTTCTTTTGCGTAAGATGATTTTTTTTTTTGATTTTTTCATTAATCATTTGACTATTTCTTTGGATTAGGTGATGGAGGTGATGGAGGAGTTTCATTTCATCGTGAAAAGTTTGTAGCAAGAGGTGGACCATCAGGTACGACCTCAATGTTACTCTCTCCTAATCGAATTTCGAACAGTGATGATTCATCAGAACTTACTAATCAAATCATTTTTTTTTGGTTGTAATAGGTGGAAATGGAGGAAAAGGTGGATCGATTTATTTAAGACCATCAGAGCACGTTCATTCATTAAATCGGATTCCCAAAATCTTAAATGCACCAATCGGTAGTCATGGAGCAGGTCAATGGATGAATGGAAAATCGGGTGAAGATTTAATTTTAGATGTACCGATTGGAACCGTAGTGAAAGAAATTAGGGATCAAGTTGATGGTTTTAAATCTAATTCGATCTTTAACTTTGGTCCTTATCCTCCAAAGCTTCGGGATTTGATGGATGAAGATCCTTTGGTAACTAAAGCTAGACGTGCTCAATTATTTGTACATTGTTTGTCTTTGATTTCTTGATCATCTTATTCTAGGATTTCAAAACATTCGTCATGATGGAATGGATTTTGTGGCTGATGAGATGATTGAATTTCTGTAGATCCACAATCAGAAGACCAAAATCAAACCAATGAACTTCTTAAACAATTAGAAATAAGTTTACTACAAGATAGATGGGAAACCCATCGAGCACGTCATGAATCATTACCCATCCAACTAGATTGTGCAAAACTTTATGAAGAACATCAAACCTTAAAAACCAAGACTGAAAGTTCTCATCCATCTTACAAAGATGTTCAAGACTCTCCTGGTACTTTTTTGCTGGCCAAGGGAGGTGAAGGAGGAATGGGTAATTCGAATTTTATCGGTAATCAAACCGTTTTACCTAGGTTTGCTACCAAAGGTAAAAAAGGAGAAGTTTATAAACTTGAATTAGAGCTTAAAACTTTGGCTGATGTGGGTTTAGTCGGGTTTCCTAACTCTGGTAAAAGGTATGATACTCTTTTGGCTCCAAAGAGTGGATCGGACTATACTGAGATTATTATTATTTTTCTTCTTCTCGTCATGATAGTACTTTGATTCACACTTTGACCAACTCGAGGTCAGAGATTGCTCCTTACGAATTCACTACACTTCATCCTCAGATCGGTACTCTGATTATTTATACGGATGGCACTTGGGATACAGGAGATCAAAGCCGTTCAATTCATGATTCACCTGTCGTACAAGAGCATCATGATCAACACAGTGCTACTCGATCTTTGAATGCAAGGACTCGCTCTTCTACCTCTTTGCCCAAGAACGAATGTGCTAGATTGACGATCGCAGATTGTCCAGGATTGTTACCCAAAGCTTCTATGAATGTAGGTCTCGGACATGCCTTTCTTCGGCATATCGAGCGATCAAGGATCTTGGTAGTAGTAGTGGACATCTTAGCTGGTTTACCAACCACTCAACCAACCAAAGAGATACCTATAGCTACGGATTCAGTGATTTCATCACCTGAATCAGAACTTGATAAACCGTGTAGAGATGTGGAGATGTTAATGAAAGAATTAGAAGAATATCAATCAGGTTTAAGTGGTAGAGTGATGATCGTAGTAGCCAACAAAGCAGATTTATCAACCTCATCAACTCAATTAGAACAACAAACTAAACTTCGATTAAAACTTTTGAATGATTATTTAAGGATCTTGGGTGAACGTCAAGTTTCGAATGGGATTAGAAAAGAAGAAGATCGATCGATTGAGGTCGTCGTCATGTCAGCTAAACATCGACAAAATGTACATAAATTAGTTAGGTTATTGAAATCTTATGCTCATTTTGAAACTTGATCAGTTTATTGCTATTAAGTGATCATGAGTGACATGTTTGAATGACCCCAGAAGGCATGACTGATCTTGCCATGCATGTATGTGGATGCTAGCTTTAAACCTATGCTCCTCTCAAACTGGGTTCAAATGTAAAAATGATGATTACATGAGTTCAGCAGTGTTTGATTGTATCAGTATCACTTGCCAACATGAAAACTATCAATGTCCATACAATTTGTGTCTTGTTTTTTAGTTGTGGTACAAGTTACGAAGAAGAGATGAGTGTGAGTAGTCAGAAACAGATTGTGTAAGTATCCCGAGTTTGAGTCACTGTGGATCACTCATGCCCTTGTCACTTTGAATTTTCCCCTGTTGTTTGATAGTTTCTTCTACATATTGCTCAATTCTTTGTTTGAGGATGAAACACACCCCACTCATGGATGAAATCTACGATCAATTTATAATAACTGCCTACATAACTGTATCTCAAATCTCTTTCAAACAAAAGATTACACTCCTTATCTCATTTATCCAGCTTGCAATCGATCCAAGAATATCTTGTTATATATTAATCAAAAAAAGTTACTCTTCCTACTTTTTTTTTCAATCTTTCAAATAATATATCACAAAAAAAAAAGTTCATTGACATTACGAAAGTAAAAAAAAGAATCATAAAAATGTGAAACCAAGAAGAAGAAAAAAAACTGTAGCGAAGAAAAAAGAAAGCCGTCTTCTTTATTGATTTATTCTCTTTGGGATTTTTTGTTATAAAAGTAAGAAACAAAACAAAAAAAGATGGAAAACTATCCAAAAAGAAAAAAAGAATCAAGAGAGGGAATTATATTCTATTTTGATCTATCTTCTGACTCCCTTCTTTTCTGTCTCATTTTTTTTTGTTTGTTACAATGAAGTTAATGCCTACTAAAAACCTCATCCTCATCAAAACACACACTAATCCCACAAGTAATAAAAACATCAAGGAAACCACATTTCCCCCCCCGCCAAAAAATCATTTCTGTCAGGTTTCAAATCCAAGAATAAAAAAGAAGAAGAGTAAATAAATATCAAGATGTGATTGGTAAGCATCTTCGAAACAAAAAGAGAAATGGTTTTAAGAAGAGGCCAAAAGCAAAGGAAAGAAAAAGTGGTGATTGAGGTTTATTGAATCAAAAATTTCGATCCCGTAATTGAAGGTTTTTGATCCTCCCCCAAACCATAAAACACGCGAACATCAAAACATATCCAAAAAAAATCAAGTGACAAGCAAAATAATGATAGTGAGAAAGATGAGCAAAGGACCAAAAACTAGAAATTCAAAAAGCTAGATGGATATGACAAGGAAGATGATGATGAAGAGATGAAGTTCAATTGATTGAGTGTTTCTTCTTGTTCGGGTGTGAGGTATCACTTAGATCCTCATTGAAGTTTTCCTCATGGTACTACTTGGATTAATCTTAGTAGTATCGATTCCCAATAAAACTTCACGCCGTCTTTTCAGTCTTGGAGAAATGATGATAGACTCAGGAACTTGGACATCTTCTTTCTTCACGGGTGCTTCTGATGATTGAAAAAATAGCGGAGGAAACTGTGGAAAGGTGAAGTGAAAGTAATCAGAATGATGTCACAAACGTGAAACTTGGCACAACATGACATACCGAATCATCAAGATCAGTTAGGATTGGACTCCAAGTTTCTACAGGTGGACTCCATCCACCTTGTAGACCGGTATACGCTTCAGTCACCTCGGCAAGAGGACTCATTTGATGTTGATGAGAGACTGGTGATTTGACGTCATCGTCGTTTCCATAATCAAAATCGGGTAAAGTTATTGTTGACAATGCCTTTGGGGCTCCTGGGCAGACAGTATCAACGGGTAGTGGATCTAGCATCTCGTGTTCATCGTCATCCTGTTTTGTTAGATCAACTTCTAATTGAGACACCAAAGATATGACTTCTTGGATGGGTTCGGGTCTGAGATCATCCAGTGTGATAGGTGATGACGATGATGAGGAGGATGCGGAGGATGTAGCAGTAGGACAAAAGAGGGTAGTGTCAAGAAGAGAGCCGCGTGTTGAAGGCTGGGTACGGCGGTTCTTGGGTAATGAGTGTTGGTGGATCATACGAGACGGTACTATTGGCGAGCAAGGCGCAAACGGTGTCTTACCACCCCAGCGGTCCTTGCCAATTGTTGACTTGAGGACTGGTTTCTTCTCGGTCAAGATGGAATTAAGCTTCGGTCTAGCAAATGGACGCTTGAGTGGAAGTAAGATTTGGTCAAACTCTGGAACCGCGTTTTCCTTATCGCCTAGCATCGCGTTTGGTGCCTCTGCTTTGGGTTGCAAAGGTAGGTAGACAGTTGGGGTAGCTTCCTTAAGCTGAGTTGAACGCTGTTTGGCTGGATTGGGTTGGGAATCGGAAGTAGGGCTGTCGCAGAAGACTTGAAAGCTAGCTGTAGTTCGTTTTGATTTGGTGACGATCGAAGGTTCAGATGGAGCGTCCTTGATGACAAGTGAGTGAAGTAAGAGTTGAGAGGCGGGCCGGAGGTCACAGTATCGCTTGGGATGTCGTCGAGCAGTAGCTGAAAGATTAGTTGGTAATGTCGAAGTGAAGAGGTGGGAGTCTGACCTGGCTCGTGAGCCCATCTTCTCTCTTTTAGTAATCATGCTGATAATTACAAGTTATACAAAATCTACTAAGGAAGGCCTTGGTTGAGATCGCAATCTTCCTTTTAATCTGAGGCCCGGAAGCAGAATTTGTGATTTTCTAAAGAAAAAAACGCGTGGTTGATGGCTGAGATACGTAAACGTTCGTACTCTTCTTTAAAGTCTAAGCAGGTCAGAACTGAATCGACGAGAAGAGGGTATGGTCAAGCAAGTAAGAAACAATCAAGTTTCAAAAGATGACTTCAAAAAGAAAATGAAAGATCAATCGACCTATGAATAGAGATGCATCAGAATGTCAGTCAGCTTTCGAACTTCACAAGTGTAGCGAGAAAATGAAAAGAGGGCGGGTAAATTGATGATCGGACAGGACAGATCAATGCGGTCATTGAAAGAAGGTATGTGCATCGCGACGGAAAGTGACGAAATAGTGACTATCAAAAAAGACTGACGTGAGTCTATAGAGCGCTCTCAAAGGTGTCCTGCATCGAGTGAAGGAACAGAGGGAGAATGAGATGTAGGAGAATGAAAAGAAGAAGCCAAATGGATAAAAAGGAAGAGAGAAAGCCTGAAGAGGATGAGATGAGATGAGGATGAAGTAGGATTTGATTAGGTGTTATGATTATTTACTTTGTATTTTATTATTACACTGTTCACTCTCTGTATAAGAAAGTGAGTGTATGATATTATATGAATTGTAATAATAGTAATGTTCTTGTAGAGCACCTAGCGTACAGTAGCCTAATAATTAAGTAGGATGACACGGAAGGCGTGTGTGAATGATGGGAAAAATGATGAAGAGCTGAGGGAGAAACACTGAGGTTGAGTAAAACATGCAAACCAAAGCAATGAGCTTTTTTGTTTCTTTTCAGCAAAAAACACACATCCGGGTCGAGCCAGTGGGGCTTGGGGCTGAGAAATCAAACTCTGCAACACACACACACGCGCGTAGAAGGAATGACCAATGCTTAGATCTTGTTTGAATTTCTTCCCTGTTTGCCGTTTGAGTTGCAGCTGAAGTACAACAAAATACCAACAAAAAGCAGTGGGGATATATATATAAGTTTGTGGAGTATTTACGTTATCGTGAGCCTGTGGAAAAGTATATTCGGATGTCGATGGTTTTGATGAGAGCCAAGTGAAGCAAGTGCTGATGTGGACTTGAGATTGGAATGGATGAAGATGATGAGACAAGAGGATGAATTGAGATATACAAACCAATTGCAATGGTATTAATGTCAACAGTGTATGATGATTAAAATGAATAGGAGCCAATGGAGTGCAGATAGAAGAGCCGAGCCCAACTTGAGTAAATCGAAGGCTTGAGGTCTTTTTGAAAGGAAATGACGAATGGTTTGTGAAACGCGTTGATATTTATATGTTGTCAATTGTTTGTTGAAATGGATCAGCTGAGAAGAGTGATCGGTTGGGGGTTGAGTTGAGCTATCGTTTGTGTTAATGAAGGAATGTGATGGTGAAGAAGATCTCGAGAAATGAAAGTGTGTGACTGATGATGAGGTTGAGTGATGAAGGTTAGATTGAATGTAGATTAAGTCAAGTCAGCTGTTTACCGTCCTCTTGGTTCTTACCTCTCATCGAAGTCATTTATCACCAACGTCTACACTTGGTTCTCATCTAAGAAAAAAAATGATAATACATACCCTAGAATGATAACCGAACGGGTGAATGTTAGTTAGTGTGTGACTTGACTTGTTCTGATACTTATAATGACGATGGTGGGCAACTTCGAACGTTTTAAAAAGGAGAGTATGAGCTGAGATGAAGCGAAAGAAAGCGAGAGCAGTTGTGTATATTGGTGACCTTGATGTCTAAATTATGTAAGCTTTAATGAATTGACCTGATGACTTTAAAAATGTTCTTCACAATTTATGTATGTGTTTCCAAAGCTGGTAAAGAAGGAGAGAAAATGGAAAAAAGAGAAATTATGATGAGGGAAATAACAAGCAGATGGTGGACAGCTATCTTGGTTTTATGGTCATCAAACTCATCAAACTCAGACAGCTATGTAAGAGAAAAAGGTTTAATAACCCATTGAGACTCTTGTTTTGACCAAACAACTCCGGTAAACAAATTGAACAAACAAACTCCGAAATCTCTGCAAGGAGAAAAACAAGATGATAATCAATTCAGACCACTGGATGCGATCACCGAAAGCGGGATAGACCGGGTGAAGTGAGACCAATGAACTTGTTGTATTCTTCAAGAAAAAAAAGTACAGGTGGAAGGGCATGTAAGGGCAATACTTCGATCTTATAGTGAGACTGATGACCCTTCAGCAAGGGGTAATTCGAACTAAAATTCGTCCACATCCAGTCTTGACATCGTGAGTTCTGTTTTCAGCTATTATGAAGAGTTGCAAGGTGGATTATTCATAGAGCCAAGACAAGGAGTGGTACTTGATCAACAAAAACATGATACATACAACATGGCCATAAGGGCATTATCATCTTCTGATTTCTTGTTGAGTTTAAAAAGTCGTTCACTCTCACCTCATGTTGATCTGGTGAACCAAGATGAGCCAGTTCCTCAAGTAGATTTCATTCACGGGTTGGGAGTGTCCACAGGTGTCCACGCATTCAAGTGTGACAATTTACAAACGTAGAATGCTCCGAGAGAACCTTCCATCCACTTCCTCCACTTCACCCTCACTCCAACACCTTCAAAACAGGTCTCTCTCACTTCAGCACACAGTACAGATTCTAATTGTTCAAAGGGCAGCTCGGCTATATTAAAACCTTAGGAAGCATCACATCTCGATTGACAAACGTCTTTCTCATGCATCTCGCTTCAATTCAACACCTTGACTTCTCAGGCTGATGTGATGACATTTTTTCTTCTGAAGTCAGCTGAAGTTTAAATCACTTCATTAGCTTAACCGAGTCAGTGGGCTCATATTGTTTTACTTACTTGTGAAGATTGGAAATTCAACACGATTGAAACACGCCATCAGAAGCACTGAACGACGATGTCAGGGGTAAGGAATACGCTCCAGTTTCTTTGCTTTGAGCCTTATGGTATGTCTCGTGATATTTGTCCTTTGGAAGTGTGTAGCGCTTGGAAGAGCCTCATACTCTGACATTACTTGCAGGATTTCAGAATTTTAAGTTTAACCAATTAAGGCTTTCCTTGTTACATCACCAAAAAACACTGACTGACTCAAAACTCTCAAAAGAATAAGAGGACTCTCAAACCCTCAAGGCATCTGGAACAATCTTTTAGTCTTGCAAAGTTTGAACAAAAACTGTTGAGACTTGTGCACACGCATTTTTTGACTATTTCTCTAGATTCACGTTACCCTCAGGATCATTTTTCAGATAGGTAATCAGTCAGCTTCTGTAACTTATCCTTTGATAATTAGGCGCCAGAAGGACCCTTTGCTCCATTTCCCCCTTTTCAAAAATCAGACACATATTTTGAAAATTTACAAGTTCATAAATCAACCTTCAACTGTTTTCAATACCTCAACAAACTTGGGGATTTGGTAGCTCAAAGTTAGTGATCATTGTACAGCAGTATTTGGTCAAAAATCTCAAAGTTTGGAGGTGTTTTTTAGCTTAATAAAGCTCTCTCTACGCAGCCGCGGCTGCGCCCTCATAGAGGGGCTTAGGACTAATTGTGGATTTTGGGCATGAGCACTACAAGGATGAAGTGTCCTTGAGTAGTTTTTTGCATTTTTACGCTTCCCTCACAAGCAAACCTCACTTTACTCTGCAGGCAAAGTTGTTCATAGTGATTCTCTACATGTGCATCTCTTGTTTACAAGAGGTAAAAACCAATCCACCATGTTGGTCTTGTTGCAAGTGTTCAAGCCTTATGTCCCACTTGTAAGGGGCCATACAGCATGTTACCACACCATACCCAATTATTTTTGAATCAACAATACAGGTGCGTTTTAAGAGTCTTCACACCACTTCTTTGGCCGCATTACTCTTATGAGGTCAGAAGTATAAGCATCTTAACTCTTGACACCAAGTTATGAGGTGCAAATGATGTTTTATTACCTATTACATGTGATTTTTAATGTACATGTATATGTAATGAATGTTTGTATATGTTTTGTGACATGTTACATATTTTTTCTAGGCTGGATGTACATGTAATTTAGGGCTGTGACCCGGACTCGGCCCTGCCCGGCCGACTATGCCGGAGGGTATCCAGGAAGCTTACAGTCCGCGCCCTGGGACACGTAAACCTAACCTGATGAGATTCACAAAAGCCCCGCGGGCGCCCCGGGTTGGCTGCTCGACCCGGGCAGCCGACCCTTATGAAACCAATTTTCTCACGATTGTTGTGATCACGTAGATCTCAATCAACAACCTTTCCACTATTGGGATTTCTCGATCCATTTCCTTCT